GAGAGAGAGAGAGAGAGAGAGAGAGAAAGAGAGAGAGAGATCAGCTTTCGTTGGGGCTAATCGGTGTCGGTGCGACCGGCCGTTGAAAAAATGTCAAGCATATCCACCGTGCTTCTCAGACTCGCTCGGCGGTCTATGAACGCAAGTAGCAGCGAAAAGATATGCTTAACGGCAAGATAACACTTTGCTTCCTGTAATGTATCCCCAGCGATAGCTCCCAACTGTGTGTGATCGCTCGCACACTCGACACGTATATTTTCTATCGCGCCGTACTATCAAGCCGTACACACAATAAATGACGAATGGAGAAATGGACGATGTTCTGTTTTTCTTCTGTTGCGGATGTTCTCGAAATGATGTCCGCGAGCGCTTGAAACATACAGGGTTACTAGGTTCGTTACATAGAACAGGTGTATGTGTGTGTGTGTGTGTGTGTGTGTGTGTGAGATTTAGCTGTCGTTTAGAGGGACGCGAATCCAAGAAGGATATGCACTCGCGCGAGTTATCGAAAGAAGTCAGAAGAGAGGGACGAGGGTGAGAGAACCGACTTTGAGCCTGCGCACCAAAAGTCCCTGTAAACAGACAACAGTAGTATCTACGTAATATCTACGTGACGAGGAAAAAGAATTTGGTTGAAATAACGTGACGAAACGACTAAACGCGCCTCGGTTGAAGGAAATGGAATTTCTGCCTCTTGAGAACCGAATTTGATTTGATTGAAGAGTCAGGAATCCTGTTTCGGGTGATTTTGAGATGCAAATTCCGATGTTCAAAAACTGAATTTGATTTGTGTTTAGTCGCGTCTTATCGTCACGTTGATTGAAGCAATCCTTCTTTCTTTCTTTCTTTCTTTCTTCGTGTGGTTTGATACACGAGCTTCCTCCTCTCGGGATTTTGTCGCTTGACCCTCTGCCCCGTTTCTTCGTCGTCCTGCCGACTCGTCGATTTATTGCTCGTCGCTAACAATCGCTAACAAACGTCGCGTACAAAAATAGTAGGAAACGAATGACGAGGTCCTGCAAGCTTACAACACCCAAGCTTATAACACCCGTTCTCTTTCTTCATCGTTCGTACTCTTAGGATTCTCTGAAAAGCGAGAGAGTCGCCTAATCGGCTGTCTTTTGCGCGCGTTTTCTCTTCGTATGTAACTCCCGATCTTTAGAATATTCTAGGAGAAAATGACCAAAAAAAATCAGTCGAGCGACGGTAATCGAGGGACGATTTCGCCACACCCGTTCGCGCACCTCGCTGATACCTCGCGCGTTCCTTTCTCTGCTCGTACGAAGCGAATTCCGTAGCGAGCGACGCGACACGATCGAAATTGACAATTGAAATCGCTGCAATCTTCCCGTGTGTCTTGCATAAATCTTGCATAAATTAACCGAATCCGTATGTGCAACGCGATTACAATGTAAATCCGCGTGAAAATACGAACACACGTGGGCGCAATCGTACGGTGCGATGCCGAACAGTGACATGTCGAACGCACGGTAAAAGCATACCAACGAAACGAGAAGTAAGTAAACGCGGTCGTTCACTTGTGTGTATGCACGTATACATGTATGTATCTCCGTTCACCACGTGTGTGTGTGTGTGTCATATTTTTGGTTCTTCTGTTGTTTTAGCTATCGCACGAAGAGAAGCGACGGCCTAACAAGTAACGTCCGCGCGAAATTATATTATTTTACAGTATACAAACACACGCGCCCGCTCACGTGTGTGTGTGTGTGTGTGTGTGTGTGTGTATATATCACGTCCTAGTACGATTTTTTCTTTTCTTATCCTTGTTCCCTTTTTTCTCCCCGCTATTCTCTCCCCCTCCTGCAAACCGGTTCGTATAGAAGTACTCGATAAATCACATGAATACAATCGCGATCGCCTACAAAATATATAATATATACGGTGCTGTGAAGATGTCGGACGATACTTGGTGGCGGTTCCACTGACGGCCGATATGACTCCTTTTTTTCTGGTTTTCTTTTCTTCGTATCTCCTTCTTCCTCTTTCTCTTTGTCACTTATCGTATTTTATCTTAAGGAGATGCGTGAACTGCTCTTTTAATAGGTACGATTATTTTTTTTCTTTTTCTTCTTCATCTTCATCATCATCATCATCATCATCATCATCTTCTTCTTCTTCTTCTCCTTCTTCTTCTTCTTCTTCTTCTTCTTTAATCACTACGACGATGTTTTAGGTACAGTTAAATACTATGCTTTTTTGTGCGCCCATCTCTTTATAATCGAGTGTACGTGTGTGTGTTTGTGTATGTGTGTTGTTACCTACATCTCGCTTAGTTATCTGCTCAGGTCTCTTTCGTTTCTTGTTTTTCCCTATATTTCTTTAAGCCTATAACGAGATTAAAATTTTTTATCGCGCGCGCTTTATCCTTAAAGTAGCGCTTCTCCTCTCTCCTAACCCTTACTCTCAGACTCTCCCCTCTCACCCTCCCCTACTTTTGCATCACCCGGATAAGGATAGACAAAAAAAGTTCGCACGAGCACGCGCGCTTATTCTGTCTCTCTCGCTTATTTAAACTGTCATAAAAAGATAGGCACACCTTCACCTACGTTCTGAAGTACAATCACCGTAAGCGAAGCTTCTGGATGGATTCCACTTGGTTTTTGTGTCGCGGAGCAACGTGGGCGTTCCTCGCAATCCGCGATCGCTTGTCGTCGCCAACGCCGGCGCCGTTCTACCCTCTACGAAATTACGTCACGACTGACGGTAAGGATGTCTAGCGTATATCCTCTTGTCCTTTTTGCGATTCTATGTTTTGTCTACGCGTGAAAGAATGCATACTTCTCGATCTCGACTCGTAAAAGTAAAACGATACGCATACACGCATACACGCACACACGCACACACACACACACACACATATTCGCGATGGTGATTTCTTAACGGCGCGAGACGTGCCCGCGTTGCTTCGCTTATAATTTTTTTTTCACAGACGGAGACATTATTAATTAACCACGGACCGCGTGTCACCATCACTGCTACAGCTGTTGCACGATAATCGCGTGTACGTTTCTATTTCGTTGGAACTTGTTGTGTGTGATATGTGATGTGTCATGTGTGTATGTGTGTGTGTGTGTGTGTGTGTGTGTGTGTGTGTGTGTGTGTGTGTGTGTGCACGTGCGCGAAAATTACGTCTGTCGCATGAGCGAACGGGCAACAGAAAAAGGAACCTCGTGAGAGAACTCTTGCACAAAGCGTGCTGTACACACTGGAAGACAAATTGTTCGATGATGGTTAGTGAAAGCGCATCGGTGCCGGCTGGGTATCCTTAAACACTCGCGGCGAATTCGCATTTTGATAAGAAAGGAATAAAGAGAAGAATCGCCGAAATCAATGGTAGAATCATAATTGCAAGTCAAATAAGAGAGTCGATTAATCAATGATTCAATGAGGTTTCTCCGCGAGCGTAAGAGAGTGGGGCGATGGGTGGTGGTGGTGGTGGTTGTTTGTTTCGTCGTGGAATCAGGCTGTGATGGCTTCACGCTACTTAACTACCGCTCGAAACTAGAGACATAGAGACCGTGTACTGAATACGTTTACATGTTTACTTAACTTATGGTCAGTTACGCACACTGCTTATAATCCTTTGAACTCGCGACGATTGATAGAGAGTTGCCTCGATAGTGTCTACTTGAATCATTGGAGAGAACGCCGTATAAGTGTAAAACTTTAAATTCGCATATCTTTCTCTTCTTCGTTTTTCCTCCTTTTTTTTCTCTTGTCGAATAATCCTATTAATTTCGTTTATTCGCTCAATCGATACCGCTTAGTATATATATATCTATATATATATATATATACACATATATATGTGTATATATATATATATATATACACATATATATGTATATATACATACATACATATATATATATATGTGTGTGCGTGTACATGTTTGTGTGTGTGTGTGTGTATATATATAGCTCCGCATCGCTTTTGTAAAACATAATAAAAATCCTCGAGAGGATATACGTCTTTCGTACAAATCAGATGTAAACTTTTTGTGTGGTGCATAAAAATTCCTATCGCCCGCGTATAATAGATACATGTATTCGGATAGAGAAGCGTAGAAGGAAATGTATGTGTGTATCCGTGCCTTGGTTTGTATGTATGTGTGTGTCATCGTCAACGCGCGTGGCAATTTTTAGAATTTTCGTATGTAGATATTTACGCTGAGGTAGCAAATAACTCGTTCAAAATGGACTCGAAACGGGCAGCGATGGAACGTTAACGCAATATTCGTTGACCGATGCGATGGCAGCGCGTATTAAAATTAGCGGATATAGATTGGAGGATATAGTAGGAAGGTAGACAGGTAGGTAGATAGGTAGGTAGAATCGTTTCTTTCGGAGAAGAATCGACATCGAGTTTCAGGGGACTCGAGTGTGAATTCCTTTTTTTTGTAAACGTACTCAGTAAAAAGTGTAGTTTTCCTCTTTGTTTGCCGTTACGTGTTACTCTTAATCATTGTACGGACTCTCTTGACGATCAGAATCGCCGTGATAACCGTCTTCGAGAAATTCGTACGCATTTATGTATATCATGTATGTCTGTGTGTGTTTGTTTGCTCTGACCTTAAAGATAATGTTCCTTAAAAGTAAATCTCACATTTATATAGTATCTGTAAAATCGCAGTTAAAATATCTTCAAGTATAATATATATATATATACATACATATACATATATATATACATAGTATATATATGTGTGTGTGTGTGTGTGTATATGCATCAATATGTGTATATATATATATACACATATTCATGTATATATATATATACACATATTCATGCATATATATATATACACATACATACATACATAGATACATATATATATATATATGTATGTATGATGTGTATTTATATATATATATATATAATCGTAATGTAATAATTAAAATCTTTGTCCCGTAAACTGTTCGGTGCACCACTGATTCGTTCGTTCGTTCTTATGTTTGGGAACTCGCACATAATAATAGTTTTTCTTCTGCTTCTGTTTTGCTCTAAGTTATTATTCTTGCTTTCGCGCTCGTGCTCCTCCTGCCGTTGTCATGGTAATTCAGACTTGATCGAGCGTGACTACGTAAATTTCGAGTTAAAGAAAAGTTCAAATTTCGTTCCTCGCTTCTCTCGCGTTCCCGGAAAGACGAAAAAAGAAATTCGCACTACGGTGTGTACGCACGCTGTCACCTCCTTCTACACGTAATTCCCGTGCGTACACGCGTGTCATAGAGACCCTATTGTTCGTTTCTCTTGATCTTCCGATGTATAGCGTCGTCTCTACATTTACAGCGTCTGTGACATTTTCTTGAAATAATTTAGGATAACAATTAATTATATAGCGTGTAAGAATCGTATGTCTGACGGTAAAGTGGGTTCGCCGATCTCGATTCTTCCTCGGGTTAATCGATGAATCGATCTGAATTCACGCCGTCATCAGCGATGTTGCAGCATCCTGCCTTAGCGCGTCCTTTTCACTTCCTCAATATTGTACCAACTGGTTCCGACGGGTGATTGTCACCTTTACCGTTCCTGCAAGGAAGCGTCACTGAGTTCAGAGTGGAGTCCGAGATCGCTCCGTCATCGTCGACATGTAAACGCGCGCGCAAGTGGAGGATCGTTCTGGCGCAAATTAAACAGATGTTATCGAACAGAAAACACTGTTGAGAAAACTCATCAGAAGAAGCCTTAGACGTTAGAAGCAAAACATGTCTCGTAAGAAAGGATAATCCATACAGCGAATACTGCAGCCTGGTGTACATTGTTGGTGATCGATGTTATATAGAGGAAGCAGAACGCGGTACATACGTGTCCTTCGACGTGAACTCAATGCGATTAAACGATCATGTTGTAATTCGAACCGAGAATTAAGCATGAAAAATGTGGTATCACACAAGTGTCACGTAGAAAAAAATGTTAGGTAAGAATGTGCACGGAAGACGCGTTCATTGTCATCGTGACGAGATGTAACTCGCGAGGAAACGTCCCTGAGTCGTTTCTCTCCGCGAACTCTCTTGAGTAGATTGTACAAGATTGTACTCTCCAAATATCTTAGAGTAGAATTTCGTGCAGTAAAAAGGAAAAAAATTTTTTATTTCTCGGCGAGGGTGAAAAGTAGCGGTATTCTTACTCGGGGCGACGATTTCAGGAGGTGACAACTTCACTTTACATGTCACAACACTCCACTGTTCAAATAGAAATTTTACTTCTAGAAACTTAGAGAGTAGATTAAAAGAAGAATAGGTGTGTATAGTTTATAGAACGTTTCCTCAGTGGATAAAAGTGTCCTGACCTGTGCACTTCTCGTGTGCGAGTTGAGTTGTCAAAGCATACGGTGCAACAATGAAGCACAGAGATGTGCAATGAAAAGATATCTTTCCTACTTTGTTCGATGAAATTATTACACGCGGCTTTCAGATCTGAGTGAGTTTTGCAAATGTTTCCTTTATTTATTTATAGAACAGCTCGAGAAAATCGCGACATAATTCCAGATCTGATATATTTACACGTACGTTTCGCTCGTGTTTCGATCCGCATCAAGTAGGAATCACGTTTCTAGCACGTCAAGCACGAAAGGACCGAAAAAAACGGCAAATATCAACATGTGAATCAACGCGCGTGAATCGAAGCCCCTATCGTACGAAGAAGACACACTGTGTTCTGTGGTGGTATCTTATACTTAAGTTCTGTACCTTAGATCATATTGTCTTCCATAGGTTTCGCTTTTAAGGGGAGACAAGAATGTGTCAAAATTGTGTTACACTTGAGATCCTTCATAAGCGGAAATGAAAGCAGAAAGTAAAGAGCGAAATCTGTATGAGCGACGTATTGAGAGAGCGGAGACATCGAGTCGTCACTTTCTGTCTCTATCGCGCGCATTGCCAGTCTCGTTCGTACCTTCTCTGATGTCCTTGGGTACGTTCGACGCGAGCGACGGCATGGAAGGCGCCTGGTAGAGATTGGGCCGCGCGCCGGTCGGTGGTAAAGCGGCTACTTTGGACCTGGTTTGGGACGGAATCGGTACAGAGCGCATGAATATCACCTAACCGGTGACAGCGAGACGACGGTTTACATAGCAAAAGCTCGAAGTGACGAAGGAGAACTCGGAGACTACCTCTGTTTGCGAATTTTCTGATTTCTGCCGTCGAAGGAAGTCGGAGTGCCGCCCCCCGAGGTGTTGGATGAATACGAAGGCGGCCTGTACGGCCGTGGGCAGCCTTGAACAACAGGCGGTGACGATACTGGTGCATACTGCAGCCGCGAATTGGTTGGTACGCCAGGATGCATCAATCTCATATCCCCTACGGTGTTGAGAGATTCGTTTACAAAGAAATCTACAAAGCAACGATGTGCGTGAAAGGTGTGCAACGGTTGTGTCGTTTCGGTTAAAGTGATTCGCAAAAGTAATTGCCGAGCATCTTGTAATTTCTCACGACATGTCCAGTAAAATAATTTATTATCTTCTCCTCGTGTAATCGGAAAGTGTGTCGTGTTCAATAGTAAGTAACTGATATGTCTTGCACTTGACGAGACACGTGCGCGTACGTGTGTGAAATTACAAAATGCTCCAAACTTTTGAACGGTAATGCCGTAAAGTGTAAATTTGGTGGTATATATATATATATATATATACATATATACCTGGCACGATATGGACACCCTGATACATTGGCAGTGGGTAACGCGGTTGTGGTTGTGCGCTTCTGTCCCCGTTCCCACCTCCGAAGAGTTCGTGCGCTGGAGTCGGGGAGCGGCTCGCTCTCTGAGAGTTACCTGGCGTTGTGGCTCGAACACCGGGAACGACCTGTCGACCGTGCAAAACACTTCTCGTCGAAAAGGGCTCGGCACGAGTGTCACGTTGATTGGTGGCCGCGAAACGACCGGTGGTTTACTCACAGGAACGTTTTGTCTGAAGACGAGATTGGGAACCAGCGTGGATGCCATGTACGCGCCGGGTGGCGGCGCCGGGGACGTGCCGTTGTGAGTGACCTGATGGTGTCCAAACGTGCCGCCGGACATTACCGGCGGTGCGTAGCTGCTTGAATTAACGTACATCAACGGCATACCGGGTGGTATCTGCGTCGATTGAGAAACGACTTGTCGTTAGCGCGTAAGCGCAAAGACGCGGGTCACGTCGCGTCGCGAGATCAGCGAGCGAGTATGATCACCTGATTGGACGTCGGTGTGTTCGGTGGTGTTGGTACTCTGTACATCACAGGCGGTGGCTGCATCGCCGCTGGCTGTCCCGGCGGGTAATATGTAGGAACCATATGGACTGGAGGAGGTTGATAGGTATAGTCGCCCGGTGACGGGGTTACCGCCGGCACGGAATTGTACGGTACTGGGTAACTGCTCACGTAATTAGCTGAAAGACACATCGACTGTGTGAAAACAAGAACGAGGACGGAAGCAACCCAAGTCTCGAGAGCGAGGGAGCAACGTACAATTCGCTTGGCTCGGAGGAGTCATCGTTTGCGCATTGAAGGGATAATTCGTCGGGAACCTCTGTTGTTGATGCAGCTGCTGCCTGTCGCTTGGATTCTGACCGACCGAGATCGTCGTTCCGGGCGGAGGCACAAAGTACATGGTTTGCTGAGGCTGAAATGAGAATTCACCAGCCGCGCTGCTGTGGAACGCAACGGAAGGAAACGAAGGACATTCTCCTCGTCCTCTTAACTTTCCCATTCATATCCACTCACCGGTATCTGATTCGGCGGTGGTTGCCAATAATTCGGTTGCACCGTCTGCACATTCTGCACAGTCTGACTGTGGGTGGGTGGCGGTGGCTGCGGATACGAATGCGGCGGCGTCGAGTGATGGTCTCCGCCACCGCGCTGATCGTAGATGTTCATACCCAAGAAATAGCCAGACAATTCGGCCACGTCCTAAAGACGAGGAAACTTTTTTCAACCGTCACCACTCAACTACTGTCGCGTAATCTTCGACGACGTTAACCGTCGAACCGTCGAACCGTCGAACCGTAGAACAACACATCGAAGAATATCAGTGAAGATTACACGCCGCTCAGGCTCAACGGAGATACTCACTGCTGACTGCGGTACCGGTCCCTGGTGCACGGGTACCGCGTAATTGGCATAGATCTGATTCTGGTTGAAGAGAAGAGAGTCCCCCTGGCCGCCGTTCTGTACGCTTGCTTGACCCTGAGGATGAGGCGCCATCATCACAGTCGGTTGCCCCATAGGAGGCGGATAGACACCCTGGTTGTACGGTTCTGAGGTAGGTACATAGGTCGCGTACGGTTGAGCCGTTTGGTTATGACTACACGTCTGCACCGTTGATGACGACTTGACTAGACTTTGCTGTGGTTGCGACGGAGGCGGCGGCGGTTGCTGCTGCTGCTGCTGTGGTTGCGGTTGTTGCTGCTGCTGCTGCTGCTGTTGTGGCTGCGGCTGCGGAATGGGTGGGTTCTGCGAAGGAAGAGGAAGAGGAAGAGGAAGAGGAGGAGGAGGAGCAGGAGGAGGGGGAGGAGGGGGAGGAGGAGGAGGAGGAGGCGGTGGCGGGGGCAGCGGCAGCGGCAGCGGCAGCGACGGTGGCGGTGGCGTAAACGGCAGACTCGGTGATGTCGCCGTGTTCGTCATTTGGGCGGACGTTGGTGCGTTGGCAGCGTTCATCTTCGACTGCGAACGCTGCTTCTTACCGTCGTTCTTACACGAGCTGCTGATCGTCCTGGACGGCTCGGTGGCTAGTTCTGCGTGCTTGTTGACCGAATTCGACGAAAGATTGACGTTGCCGGCGTCGCTCTCGTCCTCGATCGTGTAGAACTTGGGCGGGTTGTCCGGATCGAAGCGGTAGATGCTGCCGTCCGCGTTCGTACACGGTTGGTTCGTTTGCGGATTTATAATTATGCTGCCGGGCGGTACGCTGGATATACTGGTGACCGCCCACATGACCGTCTGGCCGTTCGACTCGGGTGACGCCAAGTCTTGACTAGATACTTGAGTGTGGCTGCACGTCATGGTAGCCACGGGGGAGGGCGACGGGGAAGGTGATATCGTCGCGTCGCTGCGTTGACTCTGTGACTTGTAGCCACTACTCGACGGACTCAAGCGTGAACACATACTAGCCCCCGAATCTGCAAGTACGATTTATGGTTACAGAGTGGAATCGACGGGAGGAAACGAGAACGACGACGAGTCGGCGGAGACGGCAGAGAATGAGGGAAATACAATTAGTATGAAAACGAGGGACGAGGGACGAACCTTGCTTCATAAGGCGAGCTCCCGCGCTGTGCGTGGACGTGACGCTATCCCCCCTCGACAGCATGCCCTTGGTATATCCACCGAAGCTGAAGGACTTGGAAACGGAAGGGCGCAACACCGCGCCGCGGAAAGAGTCCCTACCGTCGAAGGATTCGCCCTTTAACAGTCGGTTTTGCCTGGGGATGTATCATAGAATGTTTGTACGGTCATTCAGCAGCTCTGCTTCAACTTTCTAAAATTCTAACGACATTAGAAATTCTTCCGACTTCTTTAGAACTTCTTTAGAACGGCAGTTTAGTTCTGACAGCAGACGTCAGAAAGACGACGGCCAGACATCGAGAGCAATCGAGAGATGATGGACAAAATGTGCACCGTTATACTCTCTCTCTCTCTCTCTCTTTCTCTCTCTCTCTCTCTCTCTCTTTCTCTCTCTCTCTCTCTGTGAGAGAGCGATTACGAAGCTGGAAGCGCGAAAGTCGCTTTACCTAATTAAGTGATCCGAAGGGTGTAGCAAGCGATACCTTGCCGACGCGTCCGAGCTTTCCGACGAGGACCACGGCCAGGATGTGATCTCGCTGCTCTCGCCGCTACTGTCCTTGAATATCCTCCGTCGGGCGCGCTCGTACTCCTCCTCGCGCTCCTCGAAGCTCTTACTCCGCCGGCAGTAGTCGCCCGATAGTCTGTCCGGCGATTTGAAGTTGAAGCTGTCCTCGAACGAGCTCGAATCCCGCTTGAGGATGCTTCTCCGCGGCTCCTCCGACAAGATCAGATCGTCTCTGATGTGTTCCTTAAAACGAGTGTCAGGTATTCGCATGTTCTTCGTCCTCGTGACTATAACACTCAGACCCGACTGATCCACGTTGTGCTCCATGCCGAAATACGCCGCCACACGATGAACCAGCATCCTGTTGTACGACGACATATTTGGAAACTTGTGAGAGACCTTCTGCCGGTCCTTTGCAAATTCGATCAGGTCTTTCTCGATCTTCAATAGCACCGTGCGATCCTTCTGATTGCGATTTATCGTTTCTGCGATGAATTGCTCCAGATCTATCCCGGTGCTGTCCGTGTACAACTCTGTGCTGCTGTCTGCAAACACATCGCGATTACCGTACTTGTGGGACGCTTCTAGTTCCACTGAACACAATCACTCTTTTCACTGACTCGACTCATCATTTTAGTTTTGCGTTTCCAGCAAATGATTTCGCGCGCAATTATACCTGTGCTTCAATAAGAATGGTTTTTCACGTCAACCTGAAATCTCTCTTCAGCACGACAAACAGCACGACTCACTCACTCACTCACTCACTCACTCACTCACTCTCTCTCTCTCTCTCTCTCTCTCTCTCTCTCTCTCTCTCTCTCTCTCTCTCTCTCTCTCTCTCTCTCTCTCTCTCTCTCTCTCTCTCTCTCTCTCTCTCTCTCTCTCTCTCTCTCTCTCTCTCTCTCTCTCTCTCTCTCTCTCTCTCTCTCTCTCTCTCTCTCTCTCTCTCTTTCTCTCTTTTAATTTGAAAATGCTTGTGAAATAATGATGACTCTGAATGAAACTAATAAAGATTAACTCTCACGCTGATGACCCGAAAGTTTAACTGACGATCAAATTACCAAAGATGCGCGGTGCACGACGAATGCAATTTAAGGCAATTTAAGGTCTGTCTTTCACCTTTCATTAGTTTACTCTCTCTCTCTCTCTCTCTCTCTCTCTCTCTCTCTCTCTCTCTCTCTCTCTCTCTCTCTCTCTCTCTCTCTCTCTCTCTCTCTCTCTCTCACCGTTAAAAGTGCAATTAACTTCAAAATCGAATGTAATTAATTAAACTGTATGCGTGATTCGAGATAAGAGGTGGTGTTATAATGTTCGACAAAAGCGAAGGTTGGAAAAGCCAAAGAGAACACTCTCAGCGGACGGGCAAAGATAGATCGTAGAACGTAGAACTGTGCAAATCGCGGTCAAAGTATTCTCTCTACTCTCGCTACTCGAGAGCGAGTGACGGATTTGTTTCGAAATTTTTGGAAAACGGGCAACGAAATTTTTGGTTCTCATCAATCGAATTTGCTCCATGGGCAGCAGAGATTCCGTTTCCTTCAATTCGCACAAAACGCGAATTTTTGATTCGTCCATCCTCGAGTAATCCTCTTTTGCCTCATGTACGGTATGAACCTGTGTTAACAACATGTGAGAAAGATACGGTTCAACGGACATACCGCGTGAAAGGCACGGCGACGCGCTGTCGTAGCTACCCTGGGACGAATTCTGGTGTCTCAGCTTATGCCTGGAGGCCGGCCTGCTCACCGAGAGCGTGTTGCCGCACTGCGCCGAACATTGGTTGTTGCAGATGTTCAACGTATTCGGCCTGCGTTGCTCAGACTTGTGTTGATTGTTCTGTGCGCTCGGTGCCAGATTCGTGCTCTTGGGCGAGTGTTGCAGCGCCTGGCCGGACTTGGAGGGCGACACCGGGGTCTGCAGCAGACCCGGCCGGTCACTCTGATTGTTCTTCACGCAGTTATTGCATTTCTGAATGATATTCGAGCTCGCGATCTTCGAGCTTCGATGGTTCTCCAACTTATTGCCGTTTGTCGGAGACGTGATGTTCTTTGGTGAGTGTACCTGAGAAGGACTAGATTGACCTGCGAACAGAGTTGACGGTCGCGATTAGTAACTGCGCGAGACCTCGACAATTCGCCGCTCTTATTACACACGGGCATTCTCTCATTTGGAATTGCCAAGTAAACTTCAAAGGGATTATCGAACCCCAGGCTAAACGGATAAACTCTACTCTGCTCTTTGTGTGCGCGCAAGTGAGAGAGAGAGAGAGAGAGAGAGAGAGAGAGAGAGAGAGAGAGAGAGAGAGAGAGAGAGAGAGAGAGAGAGAGAGAGAGAGAGAGAGGGAGGGAGAGAGAGGGAGGGAGGGAGAGGGAGAGAGAGGGGGGAGAGAGGGGGAGGGAGAGGGGGGAGGAGAGAGAGAAACACGCTGTGCTTACCATTTCGCGACGGTGTTCGGCAGGTCGGCGAGGTCGCTGTGTTGCGCATTTGCTTGGGGGATTGAGCGGGACAGAGATTGCTGTTGAACATCGACTCGTTGTTGTTGAGCTTGGCGCCGGTGGGATTCGGCGAGAGGCTGCATACAATCTTCTTCTCACTTTCCGCCGACTGTGGACTGTGCGGCGACGGTGGACCGTTGTGGGGCTCCCGCGGGGGAGACGTCGACTCTCTCATGGCATGGCTTCTGACCAACAACTTCAGTTTCGTGTTTGTCTGTAAACGACGAAGATTCTTGGTTCGCTTCGCGATACAACTACAACCACAACTACCGGCCGTGTTGTCGTACGTGCTTCTTATAAGCACGTAATGTACACATCGATGTATCGATTATCAAGTTACAAATACGTTAAACTCCGTGTTTATTATACAATATATTATCGTGGACTCTCGAAGGACACAGATAAAAAAAGCGTACATCTTTGCCGGCTCTTAAGCAGGACTCGACAACTTTTCATTCTTTCTCACTGAAAGATTCAAGACACAAGAGCTCTCTGAGCTTTCTCTTCCACGAAAGAAACAGAGAAACAGAGAGGGAGAGAGAGAGAGAGAGGAGAGAGAGGGGGGAGGGAGGGCGAGAGAGAGAGAGAGAGAGAGAGAGAGAGAGAGAGAGAGAGAGAGAGAGAGAGAGAGAGAGAGAGAGAGAGAACAGGAGGAGGCGTCTTAAAGTTTCCAGCGGGAGACAAGTGAGAAACAAACACAATTCGCCAATGATCGCTACAATTGACGGTGCTTAAGTATACATACATACACACACACACACATACGCATATACACACCCGGTTGCGAAAGTTCTTGCTCTCGGTGTCCGATTTGTCGGGTGGACAGGAAGGCGCGGAATGATGGAGCGAGTTCGATGCGGGGGCGGTGCCGACGTTGGGGTTGGCATTCCCGTCTATCATATCCGACTTCGAGGCGTTCTGGTGAGGTGCACCGGAGCCACTTACGGCGAGGCCTTGCCTGGAGGATGGCAGTGAGGGCATTCCTCCGCGCACCACCACCGTGGGACTCTCAGGTCGGTCTTGCGACCTGCTTCCTTTATACACCACTATGCTCGGTACTGAAATCAGCGAATATGTCGGAGATTAAATTACTCTCCTCCTCCTCCTCCTCCTTCTCCTCCTCCTCCTCCTCCTTACAAGCTCCTGCTCGCCCTTGCGGGCTCTCCCCCGCTTGAATTTGACGCGAGTTGTGCGCCTTTGAGACGTTACAGGATCTCCCTGACGTCTTTACATCAAACGCGTTTCACGTGTACTTACTGATGTGGCACGGATTTTGCGACTTTACGATCTTTACGATGTCGATTACAGAGGCTGATCACGAGGAGGCGTTAGTCGTCTCAACGGTACAGACGCGGGATGGAGGATTAGTAAAGCGCCGGTATTAACGGAAAACTACAATGCGAGAGAATATTTGGATCAGCAGCCGACGACACTTCCAGAGCCGGAGTTTGTCAACATCGGTATACAAAGAGACTCTCTTTCTCCACGGGCATCGACACGCGTCTCACGTCGGCAAACAATCCACGCCTCATCGCGTCGTGCCGCGAACTCGAAGGAGTTTGAGTTTGTTTCCGGTACGTTTGCGCGACCCGATCGTTTCATTTCTCCGTGTGCAGGTGTATGCGTGCGTGTGTGTGTGTGTGTGTGTCATGTACGCGGTATACTACGGTTACGAGCGGACGAGAAAGAGAAGGAGAGAAAGATGGGCGCAAAAATTACGGAAATTGTGAAAGAGAAAATACACTTACTCTCTAGGCGGGCCATGTGTTAAAGGCGTCATGGGGTTACGGTGCAGTACCCTGCAACTGGTGGATTCAAACACAGGTGCAACTAGGTTAGTACGTGAATCTTTCGGGTGGCGTGCAGCTCGATGGGCTGATACTAGGAGCCAGATCACTGCACGTCCACCTTCCAACATCGTACACTCTGTAAGCAGACACAAACACGCTTATGACGTTCTCTTTCTCTCGTGCGAAACAAAACTTGTGTGAGACACATACACACGGGCGAGCACGCGCGCGAACACACACACACACACACACGTACATATGTACACGCTCCGTGGATCTTGTCACGCATTTTACCCTCACAAACATGAATTGCAAAATTTCGCTCGCATCGATCATCAATGATTGTTTCATGGCTTTGTACTCGCGCGATCGGCAGTCAACTCGTGAAATTTAATTTTACCGCGAGCGGGACGCTCGCAACATTTGCAGACTGCATTGTATTATATGGAATTTCCGATAGACGATATTACAATGACAGATAAAAAAAAAAGTTTGGAAAATCATCTTTTGAAGCAAATGTCGGTAACAATAATTTTGTAATACAATTACTATTGTTTTTGTGTTTAACGCCGAAAATGACTATAATTTGAGTGACATTTACATCTCTTTCTCTCAGTATATCTAACTCATTAGCATCCGATAATCGCATTTGTGCAATGCTTCTCTTTTATGAAATACGATATTATTCACAGTGCTGAAAACATTGAAATAAAATCACAATTAATGCGCGTGATTTGAATCCAATGTTTTCATTCTGTCGGTTATGCCTCCGATAAAAATAAATATAAAACCTCGAGAAAATTACAAACAGACCGACCCTTCTCGATGAGAAATATTTGTGAAAGAATTATGGTCCTCGATGGACTTTTGCTGCGCAATCTCGAATTGGCGCCGTGTAAATTTCATCAAACCAACGAGCGATTATTCTCGTAAATCAAAGGGATACAAAGCCGCGTCTCGTTATCGCATCGGGCGCAAAGTATCCGGACAATTTGCATAGGTAAACGTAAAACTATGAATCACACGAGTTTCTATAGGTCAGTGTTACACACCATGAGTCATTTGTCCGTGGCGGCGCGGCGCGGCGCGGCGGTGCCCCGCCGTTGGATTATTAAATGATAGAGTCGCTTTACGGGCGTGCACGATAATGCGCGCGGGTGGATTGAAAAATATGTATTATCATCGGCGACGTTATACCGCGCGTGACGCGCCACAACAAGTGTTATACTCGCAGTTACTCGTTACGGGAGTGCTGTCATTCTTAACCGCACCGTGAAAAAAATATACACGCGCACGCACACGCAACGACGAATAAATTTCTCATCGGGTATAATTAGCTCTCATTGATGCAACATTGACACTCGGATGCATCTCCCCCGCGCCGAAAATTCGATAATTCCGACCGAACGTAAATATTCCGATATACCGCGGAAATTAGCCTCGCCGCGACGCGACGTAACAATCGTGCCAAGTGTACATGCACGAGCGTATTCGTCTCTCGCGCGGACAATATGAACACGCTAATGACCCACGGATAGAGTTGGTTAGGTACACGGTCAGGTACGCAAGACACATTAGCGTGCTTTCGCTATCGAACTCGTTACTTCGATCGCAAGTTTGAACGGTAAGTTTGCTGCGCGATATTATTCAATGTTTGCAACCGACGACAAGCGACGATGACGCGTTTGACAAATTCACATATTAATCTCCCCGCGAATCCCCGTTGAATCCGTGAGGTTAGCCGGAGATCTCACTGAGAGAGTCTCCGTCTTCTCCTCTACCAGCGGATGGAACTAATTAGTCGAACTGTTCAGTTAACTTTGAGCAACGTTCGCGCGAGCCCTCAAAGACGGTTGACGTTGCAAAATGAAAAAGCGGCTAGCGGTGATCAAGCGGACGCGTCAGGGGGAGGGAGTCTTCAACAAACCTCCGATTGAACTCGGTCTTCATAATTATGGCTAATTGCGAAACCGTGCGGAGCATCGCGGTTAAATTTACACCGGAAACGCGACTGCGATGCGTCTCGACGCGGCGTCGTGTGTTGTGTTCTTCCTGCGCTCGCTTCTGCCGCATTCCACTGGCGACGGATAAATTTATCCTCCATTCTCGACGGCGACGCGATCGCCGGCCGTTCCCGATCGTCGATCAGCCGCTCGCATTTTCCCGCTTTTCCTTTTCTCTTCCCCCACACGGCAGGCAGGCAGGCAGGCAGGCAGGCACTCGGTCGCCTCGCGCGCGCGACGTGCGCTCGCTCGATCCTCCACCTCCTCTTCCCTCCTTCTCCTTCTCCTTCTCCTTCTCCTTCTCTTTTCACACTTTGCTCTTCCCTCGATATCTTCTTTCGTATTTCTCTCTTTTCTACCTCGACGTCCTTGCGCTCAAGGAACCGACGTAGGTCCCGTGCGTACTCAATGGCTATCGATCGTCACGCATATCGTTCATTCTATTCCCGCCACCCTCCGCGAGTTATCTTCATTCAAGCAAACTTTTACTCACTCGCTCACTCACTCACTCACTCACTCACTCACTCTCTCTCTCTCTCTCTCTCTCTCTCTCTCTCTCTCTCTCTCTCTCTCTCTCTCTCTCCCCCCCCTCTCTCTCTCTCTCTGTCTCTCACTCTCTCTCTGTCTGTCTGTCTGTCTGTCTGTCTCCACTCGATCTCACGTTTCGATTCTCCCTTTCGACGGCATGCCCCTCCGCGAGAAATGTACCCAAAGACAGCCAAAGTTACCCGCACTACGAGACTCCACTGACGCGAGCAGACTGGTCAAATTCTTTTTTCTCATCGATTCCCCTCCTTTCGCTCATCCGCCATCTCTTCCTCTTGCTGCACTCGCCTTATCACCGCGCGAGAAAAGAATGATCGTCGCGAACAAAACGTACACACGTATATCGGCCGAGTGCGTTTACAAGCGCGATAAACCGCGCGGCCTCGCGCGGCCTCGCGCGGAAGGTGATTCGCGCGATCCACGAGATGGATTTCTCCTCTCTTTCTTCGTCGAGTTATCACGGCTATCGCGACCGGGAGGCCTCCGGGGGCTCGTTTCGCGCTCGTAAAAGCGCTCGCTCCTAGCGAGATACCGTGGCGTGGCGTCGCGGGCCCGATCGCGAAACGACCGCCTTTTTTGTCGCGCGTGAGATATGACGACGAGCGCCGGCGAAGCCCGCGAGGAAAACACGCAGCGCGACGATGACTCTCTGTCACGGCGAAGAGTGTCAACGCGCGGACCGATCCGCGGGATTACGCTCCGTCGCGATCGTCGAGTGGACAACCGACGAACCCGGTCGTCGGACCCGTCGCTCGTCCGGTCATCTTCTCGCGACGGCCTTTCTCGTCCCAGGGCTGATCGATCAATTTCAACTTCAACAGCGAGCGGGATAATTAACAGAGCTCTCCCTCGCTCTCCGCGTCAATCTTACTGAGTCGGGACACACGACGCGGTTCGAGCGATAGCGGATTGGATCGAGTCTGGATCGGCGACTCCGACTGTATCACAGCATCGTTTCCATGCTCATCATTTCGCACGTCGTATCGCGGGCTGGGGTCAAAGAGGCACACCTGGTCAACAACTCTCGATGAGGTGTGTTTCCGTCGTGGCCGATCTATCTATCGGAGATCGCGCCGCGACCTTCCGGCCGCTGCTTTTTCGCGGGCCGAGAAGCTGAGGAGAGGCACAGACGCGCGCGCTTTGGCAAGGCGTCCGAGGTGTCTCGAAAATAGCAGAACTACTCCTCTTTCTCTCCCCTCCTCTGGCTTTTTCTCGCACTCTCACTCCTTCCTCCGAGAGCGCGCGGTAATTTAGTATAACATCACGTTTTCTCTTCTTCTGTACACACCTTCTATATCACGTTCGTCGACCAACAGAGACAGAGAGATGCGATCTCTGAGGATTGCCACGGGGAGAAAACGCAAGTGAGAAAACGGAGTTACGGCAGATATGAACGAGCGAGCGTGCGTGCGTGCGTGCATACGTGCGTGCGTGCGTGCGTGCGTGCGTGCGTACGTGCGTACGTGCGTGCGTACGTGCGTGCGTGCGTGCGTGCGTGCGTGCGTGCGTGCGTGCATGCATGCGTGCGTACGTGCGTACGTGCGTGGCGAGCGATCGACGCGGGGATTTCTCACGATGCGAGGAAAACCTGGACCAACCGCAATCCACCGGAGTGTAACGAGAGTTGCGTCGCCGCGGGACCGCTTTGCGCGAGAGACTGAGAGAGGCGCGCGCGGCTCACCCGGGTCGAGGAAGAGCGGCGAGAGGGTTGGTGGGTGGTCGGCTTGGAGGGAAAGAGAACGTGGCAAAGTCTGAGTGGGAGAGGGAGAGAAAAGAGGACGAAGCAAGCGACAAGAGAGAGAGAGAGAGAGAGGGCGACAAAGATAGAAAGATAGAGCGAGAGAAGCGAGATCGCAACAGGAGCGATAGAAATAGAGATATCAGATAACGGAGAGGAGGTGGAAGGAGGAACGAGAAGGTTATCGCCGCCAAAGAGAGGAAGGAGGGGGCCAAAGACAGAGACACATTATCGCCGGGAGGAGTTACGGAAGGAGATGCGAAGGCAATCCGGGAAGATGGGATGATTACGGGGAGACAGGGGAGCGATGGAGAACGGAAGACAGGTGATGACGGGTGAGAGAGAGAGAGAAAGAAAGAAAGAAAGAAAGAAAGACAGACAGACAGACAGACAGACAGACAGACACACACACCCACAGAGAGAGAGAGAGAGAGAGAGAGAGAGAGAGAGAGAGAGAGAGAGAGAGAGAGAGAGAGAGAGAGAGACACAGAAAGAGAGACAGAGAGAGAGAGAGACGCATAAGCGAGGAGCAGAGGTAAGGGTGAATAAGGATAGAGAAGAGAGAGTGAGAACGAAGAGGAGAGAAAGAAGAGGGTCGGTGAGGGGGGTGAAAGGGGCAGAGGGATGTACGTCGGTCGAGTGCACGCGTGCGCGTGTCTCATGTGTACTCGGTGTACACCGAGAAACCGCTGTTCGCGAAACCATGTCGACCTGGGGGGTAAATTTCGACCCTCTCGACATATCTCGGCCGAATGTAAATGTCCAGCCCGTTGCCGTTTCGACGCACGAATTTATCTATTTGTTACGGCGGCGGTGAGGAAGATCTCGAGAGATGAAAAATACAACCCGGGCTTGATTTCCCGGCTGATTTTGCTGGAAGAACGCGCGCGAATCGACGCGCGACTCAGCGGGTCGATCGAATCAATCAGACGTGATGAATCATTTCTGATGCTAAGGAATTGCTCCGGGTCTCAGATCCACCGACTGACGTTCTTAAAGGCCCGCTCCCCTATTTCTCTCTCTCTCTCTCTCTCTCTCTCTCTCTCCTTCTTTGATTGCCATCCTGCCCGATTGCTATACTCGCCGTCCATCGATAATTTTCCGCCTGGACGAGAGACAGACGTCACACCGTTGTCGCTCCCTTTCGTCGTCGTCGTCGTCGTCGTCCTCCTCTTCCTCTTCCTCCTCCTTCCATCGTAAGAGGGCACGCGAGATACAACCGCGAGGTAATTTCCGGATGAAAAAAGACGAGCGTCCGCGCGCACCGTTGATCAAAGTCGAAATCACGCAGTGACCGTGCTGATTTACACAAACTTCCACGTTTGTGAAACTCGCGCGTTTCCCAAAAGTCGCTCGTCGACGGGATAATCGAAATGAAAGGAAGAGAAACGCGTAAGTAAGCCAGACCCTCGGTCTTGGTGAAACGAGATATCATCCCCGCTCCTCTCCATTTTTCTCTTGATCGTTAATCGCGGAGCAGCGAAAGCGACCGGCCGATAACGACGGCTGACCTTCTTTTCCGCCCCATATTCGCGCGAGAGTCTTCGCTCCCGCGCGAACCGACAGAGCAGCGGCGGGTGCATTCGGCACGCGCAAGAGCGTGCGCGTGCGGGGGTGAGCGCGGCGCACGAGTAACCGAGTGCGAATGATGTCTATGACCTATATAACACGCCCAAGCGTAACTAGGTCGTGCACCTACCTACCTACCTACCTACCTCTCTCTCTCTCTCTCTCTCTCTCTCTGTTATTCCCTGGAATAATACAGGGTGTCCCACTCGAAAAAATACGGCGGATATCGATTCGCCCGACATAGCAGTGCGCGACGCACAGGGGGGCACAAGCGTCGTGTTATTAACGCGACGCATCATCGTGATCATCCTCGCCGTCGTCGTTGCGCACGTATGACGAGCAGGAAAAAATCATTCTCACGGTCTTCGCGCGGCAATAAGAAAGGGGTGACAATGTCAACACACAGACGACTCATGAGAAAAGGTCGACCGGGGCTTTCCTCCTTGCTAAAGCTTCAGATCGCCGCACTATCGACGACCATCAGCAGCAGCAGCAGCAGCAGCAGCAGCAGCAGCAGCAACGGCGACGGCGGCAGCGGCAGCAGGGTGGCGCGACGCGACGCGTAAGTGGTATCGAATTGGATACAAGCGATTGATTTTATCAAGATTCGAGAAGCGAGAAGCGCGCTGCGGCAGTACGAGCGCGAGAGCGCTCGGTTTACCGACAACCTCTCTCGGTCTCTTCTTCTCTCGCTTCTCGCCCCCGCTGCCTCCTGCGCACAAATATTTTCCCCGCGACCTTAAAAACACTACGTTCTCCTCTGCCCCCCTCTCAGTAATATAAATCGATCGCGGGTGAGATACACGATGCGAGCAGCAGCAGGAGGAGGAGGAAGGAGGTCGACGTGATTTCCCGCCCGTCCGTCGCAGAGGAAGCGAAGTCTGTGATTAATTAGATATCGGATAATTCTCCGTCGTCGCGGATTATTAGCCGGAGACGGCGATAATGTCGTGCTCGTTGCTGCAGACAACTGACTCGCGCGGTTCACCCCCCCCCTCTCCTCCCAGCTGGCAGAGTGAGCGATTGTGAGGTCCTCGCAGGGAAGCACGAACCACTCTGGTTCTCTCTCTTCCTCTATCGTTAAAACGAGATGACGGGATATATGACAGGCGATCACACGAGACGGAAATCAACCGGAACTTGGAAGATAATCATAATCTGCCTTTCGCCTGCCCTTCGCCTACCGCTTGATCACATCGCCGCCGCCGCCGTGAATACACAGCTAAGCGAAATCAATCGCGATAATGGAACATCATCATCACGAGCGCCGTCGTCGTCGTCGTCGTCGTCGTCGTCGTCGTCGTCGTCGACGTCGCCATCGACCGCATTCCGATTCGACGAGAGCGTCACCACGACGCGGGTGGTG